TGGAAGATAATAGAGAAACCGTGTCTGGTGAAATAAAAGCCCTTTCTGGAGAAATAAAAGAACTAAAATCTAACCAAGGTGAAATCAAAAAAGCTGTTAATGAGGTGCAGTCACAAATGGTGGCTCTTACTGCTAGGATAAATGAGGCAGAAGAGAGAATTAGTGATATAGAAGACCAATGGCAGAGAATAAAGAAGCTGAGCAAAAGAGAAATAAACAACTACTGGACCACAGGGGGAGAATTTGAGAGATAAATGATACCATAAGACAAAATAATATTAGAATAATTAGGATTCCAGAAGAAGAAGTAAGAGAGAGGGGAGCAGAAGGTATATTGGAGTGACTTATTGTAAAGAATTTCTCTAATATGGCAAAGGGAACAAGCATCAAAATCCAGGAGGTGCAGAGAACTGCCCCCCTCAAAATCAGTAAGAATAGGTCCACACCCCATCATCTAATAGTAAAACTTACAAGTCTTAGTGACAAAGAGAAAATCCGGAAAGTAGCCTGGGAAAAGAAGTCTGTGACATTCAATGGTAAAAATATTAGATTTGCAGCAGACTTATCCACAGAGACCTGGCAGGCCAGAAAGAACTGGCATGATATATTCATAGCACTAAGTGAGAAAAACATGCAGCCAAGAATACTATATCCAGGTGGCTATCATTGGAAATAGAACGAGAGATAAAAAGCTTCCAGGACAAACAAAAACTGAAAGAATTTGTAAACACCAAATCAGTTCTACAGGAAATTTTGGAAGAGGTGCTCTAAACAAAGAGAGAGCCTAAAAGTAGTAGACTGGAAAGGAACAGAGACAGCATCCAGTAACAGTCACCTTATGGGCAATACAATGGCACTAAATTCATATCTCCCAGTAGTTACCCTGAATGTAAATGGGCTAAATGCCCCAATCAAAAGACACAGGGTATCAGAATGGATAAAAAAACAAAACCATCAATATGCTGTCTACAAGATACTCATTTTAGACCCAAAGACACCTCTAGATTTAAAGTGAGGGGGTGGAAAACAATTTACCATGCTAATGGACATCAGAAGAAAGCTGGGGTGGCAATCCTTATATCAGATCATTTAGGTTTTAAACCAAAGACTATAATAAGAGATGAGGAAGGACACTATATCATACTCAAAGGGTCTGTCCAACAAGAAGATCTAACAATTTTAAATATCTATGCCCTAACACGGGAACAGCCAACTATATAAACCAATGAATAACAAAATCAAAGAAACACATCAACAATAATACAATAATAGGGGACTTTAACACTCCCCTCTCTGAAATGGACAGATCATCCAAACAAAGGATCAACAAGGAAATAAAGGCCTTAAATGACACACTGGACCATATGGACATCACAGATATATTCAGAACATTCCATCCCAAAGCAACAGAATACATGTTCTTCTCTAGTGCACTTGGAACATTCTTCAGAATAGATCACATATCAGGTCTCAACCAGTACCAAAAGATTGGGATCATTCCCTGCATATTTTCAGACCACAATGCTCTGAAGCTAGAACTTAATCACAAGAGGAAATTTGGAAAGAACCCAAATACATGGAGGCTAAAGAGCATCCTATTAAAGAATTAATGGGTCAACCAGGAAATGAAAGAAGAATTGAAAAAATTCATGGAAACAAATGATAATAAAAACACAATGGTTCAAAATTTGTGGGACAAAGCAAAGGTAGTCCTGAGAGGAGAATATATAGCGATGCAAGCCTTTCTCAAGAAACAAGAAAGGTCTCAGATACACAACCTTACCCTATACCTAAAGGAGCTGGAGAAAGAACAACAAGGAAAGCCTAAACCCAGCGGAAGAAGAGAAATAATGAAGATCAGGGAAGAAATCAATGAAATAGAAATACCCCAAAAACCCACTAGAACAAATCAATGAAACTAGGAGCTGGTTCTTTGAAAGAATTAATAAAATTGATAAACCCCTGGCCAGACTTATCAAAAAGAAAAGAGAAAGGACCCAAATAAATAAAATCATGAATGAAAGAGGAGAGATTGCAACCAACTCCAAAGAAATACAATTATAGGAACATATTATGAGCAACTATACGCCAGCAAATTTGACAATCTGGAAGAAATGGATGCATTCCTAGAGACATATAAACTACTACAACTGAACCAGGATGCAATAGAAACCCTGAACAGACCCATAACCAGGAAGCAGATTGAAGCAGTCATCAAAAATCTCCCAACAAACAAGAGCCCAGTGCCAGATGGCTTTCCAGGGGAATTCTACCAAGCATTTAAAGAAGAATTAATTCCTATTCTTCTGAAACTTCCAAAAAAATAGAAATGGAAGGAAAACTTCCAAACTCATTTTATGAGGCCAGCATTACCTTGATCCCAAAACCGGACAAAGACCCCATCAAAAAAGAGAATTACAGACCGGTATCCTTGATGAACACAGATGCGAAAATTCTCACCAAAATACTAGCCAATAGGATCCAACAGTACATTAAAAGGATTATTCATCACGACCAAGTGGGATTTATTCCAGGGATGCAAGGTTGGTTCAACATCCTGCAAATCAGTCAATGTGATATAATACCTTAATAAGAGAAAGAACAAGAACTATATGATACTCTCAATAGATGCTGAAAAAGCATTTGACAAAGTACAGCATCTTTCTTTATCAAAACTCTGCAAAGTGTAGGGATAGAGCGTACATACCTCAATATCATCAAAGCCATCTATGAAAAACCCACCGCAAATATCATTCTCAATGGAGAAAACTGAGAGCTTTTCTGCTAAGGTCAAGAACATGGCAGGGATGTCCACTATCACCACTGCTATTCAACATAGCACTAGAAGTCCTAGTCTCAGCAATGAGACAACGATAAGAAATTAAAGGCATCCAAACTGGCAAAGAAGAAGTCAAACTATCACTCTTTGCAGATAATATGATACTATATGTGGAAAACCCAAAGGACTTCCCTCCAAATCTGCTAGAACTTGTACAGGAATTCAATTAAGTGTCAGGAAATAAAATCAATGCACAGAAATCAGTTGCATTTTTATACACCAACAACAAGACAGAAGAGGGAGAAATGAAGGAGTCAATCCCATTTACAGTTGCACCCAAAACCATAAGATACCTAGGAATAAACCTAACCAAAGAGGCAAAGAATCTGTACTCAGAAAACTATAAAGAACTCATGAAAGAAATTGAGAAAGACACAAAGAAATGGAAAAATATGCCATGCTCATGGATTGGAAGAACAAATATTGTGGAAATGTCTGTGCTACCTAAAGCAATCTATACGTTTAATGCCATCCCTATCAAAATGCCATCCATTTTTTTTCAAAGAAATGGAACAAATAATCCTAAAATTTATATGGAACCAGAAAAGACCTCAAATAGCTAGAGGAGTGTTGAAAAAGAAAGCCAAAGTTGGTAGCATCACAATTCCAGACTTCAAGCTCTACTGCAAAGCTGTCATCATTGAGACAGTATGGTACTGGAGCAAAAACAGACACATAGATCAGTGGAACAGAATAGAGAGCCCAGAAATAGGCCCTCAGCTCTACAGTCAAGTACTCTTTTACAAAGCAGGAAAGAATGTCCAATGGGAAATAGACAGTCTCTTCATCAAATGGTGTTGGGAAAATTGAACAGCCAGATGCAGAAAAATGAAACTGGACACGTCCTACACCACAAATGAAAATAGACTCCAAATGGATGAAAGACCTCAATGTGAGAAAGGAATCCATCAAAATCCTTGAGGAGAACACAGGCAGCAACCTCTTTGACCTCAGCCACAGCAACTTCTTCCTGGAAACATCACCAAAGTCAAGGGAATCAAGAGCAAAAATGAACTATTGGGACTTTATCAAGATAAAAAGATTCTGCACAGCAAAGGAAACAGTCAACAAAACCAAAAGACAACTGACAAAATGGGAGAAGATATTCACAAATGACCTATCAGATAAAGGACTAGGATCCAAAATCTATAAAGAACTTACCAAACTCAACACCCAAAGAACAAATAATCCAATCAAGAAATGAGCAGAAGAAATGAACAGACATTTCTGCAAAGAAGACATCCAAATGGCCAACAGACACATGAAAAAGTGCTCCACATCACTTGGTGTCAGGGAAATACAAATCAAAACCACAATGAGATACCACCTCATGCCAGTCAGAATGGCTAAAATTAACAAGTCAAGAAAGGACAGTTGCTGGTGAGGATGCGAAGAAAGGGGAACACTCCTACAATATTGGTGGGAATGCAAGGTGGTGTAGCCACTCTGGAATACAGCATGGAGGTTCCTCAAAAAGTTTAAAATAGAACTATTCTATGACCCAGCAATTGTATTACTGGGTATTTACCCTAAAGATACAAATGTAGTGATCTGAAGGGGCACGTGCACCCCAATGTTTATATCAGCAATGTCCACAATAGCCAAACTATGGAAAGAACCTAGATGTCCATCAACAGATGAATAGATAAAGAAGATGTGTTATATATATACAATGGAATACTATGCAGCCATCAAAAGAAATGAAATCTTGCCATTTGCGATGACGTGGATGGAAATAGATGGTATTATGCCGAGTGAAGTTAGTCAATCAGAGAAAGACAATTATCATATGATCTCCCTGATATGAGGAATTTGAGAGGCAAATTGGGGGGTAGGGAAGGAAAAAACTAAACAAGATGGGATGGGGAGGGAGCAAAACCATAAGAGATCTTAAGCCCACAAAACAAACTGAGGGTTGCTGGGGGGAGGAGAGTGAGAGGGTGGTTGGGTTATGAATGTTGGGGAAGGTATGTGCTCTGGTGAGTACTATGAAGTGTGTAAACCTGGCAGTTCACAGATCTGTACCCAGGGGCTAATAATATATTATATGTTAATAAAAAATAAAAATTAAAAAAAAAAAAGAATTGGGGAAGTAGTACCTATTAAATATAATATTAGAAAAGTGTTCACTTTGACTGTTGCATATTTTTCTCTGTTTTCCAGAAATGGCTGGAAATCTTTTGAAGGCATCACCTTTGACTGTAAGGAAAAAATTACTGCATCAAATGGGAATATCACTTTATAATACATCTCATGGGTTCCATGAGGAAGAATTAAAAAAAAAACTTCAGCAGTTTCCTGGTGGATCCGTTGACCTTCAGAAGGAAGACAGTGGCATTGGCATTCTTACTCTGAATAATCCAAGTAAAATGAATGCCTTCTCAGGTATAGAGATCTTTGTTTTACTAAAGAATGACACTAAATCTAAGCTGCTATCACATGATTTTTGTCTCTACTCTGGTGACAGAATTCTTCGAAGTTGTGATATTGTTACAATATGCATACTCACACACAATACCCAAAACTGTCACTTGAACCAGGAACATTTTTACTAATTGTATTTTAATCTTTTTAAAAAAATCCATCAATATGGATGTTGATAGAAAGGAAACTTTCAAATTAATCTTGATTATTTTTTCCATTGACTTTTACTGACTAGGTAATGACTTCATTTGTTCATGTTTAGCTAATGTCCCTGGGAGACAAGGGGAAGGAGCTTTCAAAGATTTTTGAAAACAGAAGAGAGAAACCTATAAATGAAGAAAGAAATTACTTAGTTAAAATGTTTTTCTGTGACTTGAAATAAGACTGTCATTTTAATCATGTAATTCCAATAATCAGTGAAAACACTGTGCTTGCCGATGTGTTGCCTCATTCCTGACACTTAGATACTGGTAAATACCTTCTATTTGCTAGGTAGCATTCTTGGGCATTCATGAATTTCATATTTAAGGGACCCAAAAGTCCAGGACATGTGGTACTTTGTAAATTATCACCAAAGTTCAAATTTGAATTACACTACTAACTTACGACAGAGCTAATAAGTAACACTGCTGACTGTCTAGCGCTCCTACTTTTTTCAACATGATTTTGGCAGTTTCTGTTTGTCAGTGATGTACCTCATGGGTGGTTGATAATATTATGCAAGCGCTAATGAGAAACCTTGCTGACTACCCAGTTAGGATGACTTTGACAATTTCTGTTTTTCAGTTATGCACTCATCATCATGCGGAGTAAATTGTATATTGTAGTATTTGAAATACTGGGCTTAAAAATGTCTCAATAAAAAATTTTCATACCTATAGGCAAAAGTCAATAGACTGTAAACTTTGTAAATTATTAGTGGTGGGTCTTTAAAACACAAGATGACTTTTCTTTCCTTTCAGCATAATTCAGAGATGTCTTTCTCTCTATTAGTGTTATGCAATAGAAGTATAATGCAAACACAGGGGCACCTGGGTGGCTCAGTGGGTTAAAGCCTCTGCCTTTGGCTCAGGTCATGATCTCAAGGTCCTGGGATTGAGCCCCACATCGGTCTCTCTGTTCAGTGGGGAGTCTGCTTTGCCCCCTCTCTTCTCTGCACGCCTCTCTGCCTACTTGTGATCTCTGTCTGTCAAATAAATAAAATCTTAAAAAAAAAAAGTATAATGTGAACATAAATGTGACCTACATATGTAAAATAAATTTCTAGTAGCTGTATTTTTAAAAAGTAAAATAAAAAAAGGAAACAGGAGAAGTTAATTTTAATATACTTTATTTAATCCAGTATATTATAAAATATTTCTTTTGCTAAAGAATAACACTAAATCTAAGCTGCTATAGAGAATAAAACCCAATTTTAATATTAGCTTAGGATAAGTAAAATTAGAAAGGTAAGACTGCTCTCAAAAATTAGACTAGAATAATAGTTTTAATTTACTGAGTAGATATAAATAATTTATATTAGTAAATAGTATTCAAATGTACCTAAATATTAATTTCATGGCTAGTATTTAAACCGAATATGAACAGAGATGCTTTGATTTGGGTAATGGTGTTTGATCGAGTTAGCTGGGAGAAAATGAGTGAGCCGGCAACCCCACGGCCCTGGTTTGAAAATTACCCAACCAGGTACTCCATTAAGGTTCCTTCCAACTTTTATGCTTAGTTTACAAAGTTTAAAAAGATGAGTTCAAGATTAAGTACTGGTACAGATATCTCATACTCAAAATCAACATTACTTTTTTAGAAGCTTAACTATTAGGGATGATTGAAGAACCATATTTACTTATATAGATTTATTCTTAGCCTAAATGAGCGGTGGTTTGGTTTTGTTTTGTTTTGTTTGTTTGTTTGTTTGTTCTTGTAAAGAGCTACTAGACTGTATATATCTTTGGAGAGCAAGAACTATATTTCTAATTACATCCAGGACATCCTTGGGTAGGGCTACTATTTTAATTAGGTCATAATTAGCCATTAGAAAGGATAGCTGCATTAGTTACTTGTGAATTGATAGCATTAACATTATTGTAATAAGAATTATAGTCCCTGCTATTTCCATTTTAAATTTGTCCATTATAAAGAAACTCCAGTACAATTTTGGGATGATACTAAGGTAAAATTTTAATCTGTAAATCATAGAATTGATTGTTGGTAGGTATCTTATTAACAGCCTGTAATGTACTTTCATAGCATGCCTTGGGTTAGAGCGTAGTTTGTCAACTCTGGAACAAGATGATATGTACTGTCCCTTTCCTGACCTAACATCCTTTTATAATAGTTCTTAGTTGAGTAGAGTAGGAATCTTACCTTTGTTTTATGTACCATATACCCAATAGATTGTTAAGATCTCAGTCTTCTGGGGCAGTACTATATATCTGAGCTAGGAATATAGGCATCACTCTTGTTATGAGCTTGTTTATTTTATAATCCTTGTTGAGCTTGTTAACTAAGATAATGTATACTACTGTGAAGTCAGGTCTATATTTGGCTCTTACCTAAGAAATAATTTTTTCTTACCACCATACCCTTTATTCATTCCAATTTTCCTATTCCTAGGATAGGTATGATGTATTCTCATTTTCTGCCTAACCATGTATTTGTGTGATTTCTTAATTATGACAGTGAGAAAGAGAGAGAGGTTACTAACATATTGTAAACTTGAAAGCAGGGACTGTCAAGGATACCTCTTTGGTGTATACCCCATGGTACCACCACAACAGACATTTGAGAGACATTCAGTTCATATTTGTAAAATGTAGGATCTAAGAGTCCTATCTGACTCCTGATAGTTTCTAAATTATTTATCTTTTTCTAGTATCTTAAGTGCTTTGATTCCCCCTCATCTCTCTGGCAGGTGTTATGATGCTACAACTTCTGGAAAGAGTGATTGAATTGGAAAATTGGACAGAGGGGAAAGGTCTCATTGTCCGTGGGGCAGGAAATACTTTCTCCTCAGGATCTGATTTGAATGCTGTGAAAGCATTAGCGACTCCAGAGGCAAGTATTTATATAAATTATGCACTAGATTCCATATGTTTATCAGATATCTGTGACTGAGATATTTATATTTTACATATGGTTAATATGATAGCTACTCTTTAAGAGCTTTCCGAGAATCAGAGGTTTTGGTTTTCTTCTCAAAGATGAGGTTGCAAATACTTTGAAATAGTGGGGGGGTGGGTGGAGAGGAGGGACAAAAAGATGAGCAATCACTAAAGCCCATTAAAAGCAGCAAGAGTTTTAATTCTTTTAAGTGGAAGACCCTTAGCGTCTCATGATGAGGAATTTTATATGAGGTACATATATAAAGTACCCAGCAAAGCTTTGGCACATAGTAGGCTTCAGCAAATGGTAACAGTTAAAACATTTGCTTCTGAATTATCCTGAAAGAAAAGGAATCCTAATTATCTTCCATTATTAGTTGTCGTCCATTATCCTCCAAGGAACCTAGGAACTTCCACTCATATACCCAAGGCAAAAAAAAGAAGGGAAGAAAAAGGAAAAAAATAGAAGTATTCATAGCCATTTAATTATAGGTGTGGGATGTATGTATGTAATAAGGTTTGAATGGTACTCCATAAGTCATACTGACCTATATAGTATATAAGCTGTATTTACATAAAATTGTGAGGAAAGCGCTCTCTTTTGGTAATTTTGATAGACTTGGATTTGAACTCTGGTTTCAATGCCTTCTGGGTAAGTGATTGGGCAAATCACTTAATCTTTCTAAGTCTTATTTTCCTAATCTAGAAATGAGAATTCTGTATTTCATAGAGCTATTGTGAGGATTATAGCTATTCACAATGCTATAATGTATATAAAATGCATACTAGGATAGTGTCTGAAAAAGTTAGCTCTTATTTTTATTTCAAAGATGTAAGTTTAATAAACATTATCCAGGAGATGATCCATTGTAGCACCACTAGACTTAAAATTTGCTCTGTGTTCAAATGATTAGAGCATTAAGCTGCAGATTTGACTATATGGATTTTTCCCCAAGGTCATCTCAGAATTAGCTATATGACCTGCAAGTTATTTGATTATAATTTTTCATCTCTGGAATGATTGAATTCCTAGGTATCTTACTTTGTTCATAAAAGATACTGGATAGATATAATGATATTATTATAATATTATTGCTGTTATAATATGATTATTATATGAGATTATTTTGGGTCTGATGTAAGTCAGGTAGGAAAATACCCTAAAAAAGTGAAAGGTTATTTTGCTTTCTTCTAGTTAAAAGGCTGTTTCTGTCTCTTTAGATCATATGGCCAGGAATTTTTATTTTGTATGCATGTAAAAGCTAGAAGTAGAATCATGCTGATTTCTATATGCCTGTGAAAGAACCATGAATATGTGTAAAACTGAGATTTAAAATGGCCTCAGGACTTTTGAGCTTCACGCATCTGTATGAGTTGCAGCTGCATGTATCAATGCATCTGCCCCACACAGCTGAGGTACTCTGAGACTCTTAACATTGAGTTATGAGCATCCTTTCCCTAAGTGAAGCTTTTCTTTATCTAATACACTTACTCTTTGTTATTGCAGATGTATCACTAGCATTTGGGTATATGGTGAATTTGCTTTTCTGAGGATGATGAGATAATTAGAATAGATGATGATTTTAGTAATTGGATTACAGTCCCTTCTGATTATAATAAGAGATTTGAACGTGATTATTAAATGGATTTTTTTGAAAAAGATAATTATGTTGATGCTTTTGCCAGTGTATTTTTTCAAAGTTTAAAAAATATTTTATTAGTGAAAATTACCTAATATAAATAGAAGTAAATACAGTGAAACCCTGATAGACTCATAATAGCGTTAGTAACCATTAACATTTTATTATATTTATCAGTCTACTTTTTAAAAAATGTAGCTGGTATCTTAAGTTGGTTTCATTTTGTTATTTTTTGTTTTATGAGTAGAAAAAAGAGCTTCAGCTGTCCCTATTAGGCAATTAATCCGTGGTTGGAAACATTGAGGCAAGGAGATGGATTAGCATAATACACACATTAGCCCTGGAAAGTTATGGGACAAAGAAAAGCATAAAGTAGAAAAAAAAAATCTAATGCATTAACCCAATTATAAGAGTTGGATTTGATGCTACAGATGTTTGTAGACTATCATCAGAAATCATCAAAATCCAATTATAATCTTCAAGATAAGGGAAAACAAACCTACTTATTCTGCAGTGAATGGGTATAATTCCTCAAGGAAAAGTCTGGCGTTTTAGAAACCTTTAGATTCTTAATCTAGAGCTTAAAGGTAGTATTTTTCCTTGGCTCCCTGACCTTTCAGTTACTTTTCTGCCAATCTGTTGGCCCTTATTTCTCTGTTGCTTAAATTTCTATAGTGACCTCAAATGAAGTGCTCATCTGACTTCTTTGCTTTTGCTACTACTGTTGTACAGTTTTATTTTAGCTTCATTAATTTATAGACAAATTATTCTAATTTTCTCTAAACCCTCCCATGTATTTTGATGAAATTAATAAATCCATACAACAGGCACTTAGGGAAAAAAGAGAAAGGCTAATTTATGGTTCTAAGACAAGTAAGATACTTTTATAGGCTGAGCATTTTTCCACTCAGGATAAATCTGGCTCAGAGTAAATAAAATGTTAGTAGTTCCTTTTGACAACTTGGGCTGAGCATTGTGCTTACCATCTTTGTCATACAAATAAGAGCTGGAGGAGTAGGTTTGGGTCTCAGGGTATCATTTAGCTGGATGAAAATATCACTGTCTGCAGCAGTTCTTAAAACCTTTTTTTGTTACTTTCCAGCTCCCAGCCTTCTTTCATCAGAGCAGATCTAGCTTTTCATTGCTTCCTTTTTTCAACTTATTCTATCATAAGCTGGGTTTTATCTCTCATTGGCTTATTTTCTTCCTACAGCCCAGGAAAGGGCCCGAGCATTTAACCATTTTTGGCCCAGTAGCTTTGGGGGACAAATCTGATCTTTTTTCTTCCTAGGTCATGTCTGCTAGTACAGTGTAATCTCTACTTTATGAAACATTTAAAACCAAAGCATATTCATTGTCTGATTGTCAGTGCAATTACTGATATTAATAATAGCATTATTGATAATATTAGTGCTGGATAATATTTATGATAGACAGATAATAGATAATATTAGTGCTAGATAACACTTCTTGTTCTATTACTGTATATCAGACACTAAGTTCTTTATGTGTCAGATTTATTTAATCACTACTAACTACCCTAATGGGATAGGTACTATTATTATAGGTGAGGAGACTAAAGCACAGAGTCGTTAGGCATCATGCTCAAAGCCAAACTAGCTAGTAAGTAATAGAGCCCAGATTCAACCTAGGCATTTTAGCTCTAGAGTCTGTATTGTTAACAAATTGTTCTGTACTGCTTGTAAACATTTTTAGTGTAACTTATCTTTTGAATGAGATTTTTTTTTCCTTTCTCTCTTTTTTTGAGGATTTTATTTGTCAGGGAGAGTGAGCACAAGCAGAGACAGAAGTAGGTTCCCTGCTGAGCAGGGCGCCTGATGCGGGACTCATCCCAGGACCCTGGGATCATGACCTGAGCTGAAGGCAGACGCTTAACAAACTGAGCCACCCAGGCACCCTTGGATAAGAATTATAAGAGGATACAGTCTAATACCTGCTTCACTTTCATTTCTACCAATTCTAGGTGCTTCTGCCAGAATTTTAAGTACTCTAAATCTAGTATAATAGAAAGTAAGCCTATTAAAATTAATTTATTGAGATAATTTAACAGGCTTTCTTGTACAGATTTTTTTAAAAGATTTTATTTATTTATTTTAGAGAAAGAGAACGAGCATGAGCAGGAGGCGAGGTAGAGGGAGAGGATAGAGAGAACCTTTTTTTTTTTTTAATTTTTATTTTTTAAATTTTTCCAGTGTTCCAAGATTTATTGTTTATGCACCACACTAGTGCTCCATGCGATAAGTGCCCTCCTTAATATCCACCACCAGGTTCACCCGTCACCTCCACCCCCCTCCCTTCTAAAAACCTCAGTTTTTTTCTCAGAGTCCACAGTCTCTCGTGGTTTGTCTCTCCCTCTGATTTATCCCAATTCACTTTTCCTTTCCTTCTCCTAATGTCCTCCATGTTATTCCTTATCTCCACAAGTAAGTGAAGCCATATCATAATTGACTTTCTCTGCTTGACTTATTTCACTCCCCATAAGAGGAGAGAGAATCTTAAGTGGATACTTTGCTGAGCTCGGAGCCTGCTGCAAGGCTCTATCTCAACACCCTGAGATCATGACCTGAGCCAAAATCACACAAGTTGGATGTTCAACTGACCGAGCCACCCAGGCACCCCTATTGCATAGATTTATTTTTTTTTAAGATTTTATTTATTTATTTGACAGAGAGAGAGAGCACAAGCAGAGGGAGAGGGAGAAACTCCTCCTTGATGAGCAGGGAGCCTGATGCGGGGCTCGATCCCAGAACCCCAGGATCATTACCCAAGCTGAAGGCAGATGTCCACCTAAGCCACTGAGGCGCCCCTCTACTCTGTAGATTTTAATAGACTATAAATCAGTCTAGTTTTAAACCTTCTAGCTCTTTGTGCTTGTGTTAATTTTCTTTTCAATTTATAATATAGAATGACCTTTGTGATAAAGGCTTTCAGTTAGGAAGTTTATATTTATGTTGGTTTTTTACCTTTCATTGAGTACATTTGTTTTCTAGAATAACATAGTTTTCCATCTAAAATTCATCTGATTCATTTAGCTTCAAAAGCAAATATATGCAAAAAATTGCTTTAGCTTCTGAGGATAAAGAAGGCATTTTGTCAACTTCTAGAGGCTTATTGTGTAGACCTAGCAAATGCCATCTTCCCTTCCCCTCTATAAAGCTTTCCCAACTACCCTGGCCCAACTGAAATGAATTTCTTCTATTTGGCACTCTTCTCAGTTTGTTAAGCATTTCTTAAAATACCTTGTATAATATAATATACTTTGATGCAGTATAGTTAGGAAATGCATTCCTAGTTAGGAAACAAGGCTGTTGTAGGCTGTTAAGTAGGAGTAACATAAGTCTAAGCTAGGGTAGCAGCAGTGCAAATAGAAAAAGAAGGGATTTATTTTGGAAATACTTCGAAAGACTTGGTAAATAATTGGAAGTGAACTATAAAATGGAAGAATCAAAGAAAATACTAAAATTCTGAGCCTTATTGACCAGAAGATCCTTTTTTTCTTTTTTTTAAATAAACTCAGAACTCACTTACATTTATGTGATCATTTACAGAGTATCTAGGTACATTTTCATCTTTCCAACCATCATTTAAGTCAAATAGAACAAGTATTTTTTATTTGTCACTCCTTCCTTTTAGATGAGGAAACTCAGTTCAATTAAGACTTGCTCCAGTTCATGTTATTATTAAGCAGTAGCTCTAGGATCCAAACTCAGCTCTTTCCACTCCCATTTGATTTTGCCATGCTGAATTTGAAGTCTTGGCAGAATGTGAGATTTCTAGGAGGTTTTGGGAGTCTGCATGAAACAAGAGTTGAAGCAATGGGGATGGATGAGACTTCCAAGGAAGAATTTGTAGGTAAAGAAGAGAAAGAGAATCATGGATTGGATTTTGGGGAATACATGAATTTACAGGTATTAAATTACTTATTTATCTAAAAAAGAAGAGGCAAAGAAGAAAACTGGATAGGAACAATCCAAGAAATAGGAAGATAATCAGAGTGGAAAGTATTGCTAGAAACTATAAGAGGCTTTCAAAATACAGAAACTGTTCAAAGCAAGATACCCATGTTATAGAGACAGGAGGATAAGGATAAGGAAAAGGCATTTAACAAATAGAAGATTATTTGAAACCTTTGAGGGGAGTCTTTTGAGGGAAGGCTGAAGACTAGATTACACTAGGTTGAAGAACATATGTGAGTTACCAAAGAAGAGGCAGTAAGTTTAGACTACAGTTGACCCTTGGACAATGCAGGGGTTAGGGCCCCTCACCCTGTACAGTTGAAAATCTACATATAACTTTTGACTACCCAATAACTTAACTTCTCATAGTTTACTGTTGAGTGGAAGCCTTACCAATAACATAAATAGTTGATTAACACATATTTTGTATGTTATATATATTATATACTATATTCTTACAATAAAGTAAGCTACAGGAAAAAAAGTTATTAAGAAAATCATAAGGAAGAAAATACACATTCACACATTCACCACATTCATAGTCCTGTACTATAAAAAGTCCATATGTAAGTAGGTCCATGCCATTGAAACCTGTGTTGTTCAAGGGTCAACTGTACTTTTAAGAAATTTGTTTTTCATATTTTTATATTCTTAGGGAATCAGAATTTGGGATAATAAATGGGTACATCTTATGTCTCTTCTCCCACTTACCCTGAGTAGAACTTCACACTCTTCTGCTGTATGTGATCTGACTCACATGCAAAAGTCTTTGCTAATAACCTCATGTAGAGCTGAGCTCAAGGGGTCCTAAGAGGGCAACAAAATCTAATACTGCATCATTTGCATTTCTGACAGCATCAAAGAGTTTTAAGTGAAAACCTCATTTAAAAAAAAGTTGTGTCTATTTTTGGCTTCACTACTTTCTAAATCCTGAAAAAAATTGAAAAATTTCTTATATAATATACTTGTATTATACTTTGTGTTTATGCTTATTCTTTTTTAAAGGATGGACTGGCCTTATGTATGTTCATGCAGAACACCTTAACAAGATTGATGAGGTAATGTATCTTCTTTTTAAAATATGAAATCTAAAAAAACAAAAAGAGCTCTTCATTGTTCTCTTTTACACCAGTTAAAAAATACCTGCTTTTCAAATTATATTTATTTTAATGATGAACTATTTATTTGTGCTATCTAGAATAGTCATTTAATTAAATATTAGTGAAGTATGCATAGGTATTTAAAAGATAAGAGAAGGGAGAGATAAAAAAAATTTTGACATAGCACTTTTCCTAAAGAGCTTATAAAGTTATAAAAACTAAGATTCCATATTATTTAGCATACTTACTAGTTGTCTAGATGGCCATCACTCTATTTTTGGTGCTCTTCATATGTGAGAGATTAGAAAGAGTAATGGAATCAAAACATTATTCTAAAATACTTTTCTTCATTGCTTTAGTTCCTCTTCACCTTCCTTTCCCTATTAAACTTGACTTTTTCTTATATAAATCTTAAAGTTTTTTGATCCCTTTTATTTGGAAGCAGAATGTGTTAATATATTTTCCATTACTTTAGGTGTGCAGCTTTGCATTTAGTTAGAACCTACAAAATATTCCATACTTTCAAAGCATATGGATTTACCTTGTAATACTCACACACTCCTCCAAAGTGGGTCTTTGCAGACAGGAAAGGTGAAAAGATTTATTTTTACCACAGACCCATTCCTTTATATAGTCTTAGTTTATCGATCATTTCAATAGGTAATAAAAAAAGCGTTTGGTAGGAATCTTTATAATAACACAGTTTTGGAGCTCAGTCTTCTCTACCACATTTCCTCCCTTTGGATATAGCCTTAATTTTGCCATCTAACGTGACATCAATGAAAATGGAGTAAGATAAGATCACATTGAATTATTCTTGATTGCCAGTGCCTGAGGAGTTATAGGAGCTGTATATTACATAGAAAACATTCATTTATTTAGGAGAAAGTTACAATATGTAGTTAAAAAATGCAGTTTGTAATATATAAAAATATATGTAAGGTATATATTTCATATAGTACTTATAATATATACTTTATATATTTTATGTATATTCATATATAAAAATATAGTTAATAGTTTAAAAATAATGATTCAGGGAGGCAGTTTGATAAACTTACATAGCATTTAGTATGAATTATTATATCTTAAGAATTACACTGTTTTGTTCCTCACGATACACACAGTCAGGGTTCCACTGTCCTTTGCGGTATGTTTGTTATTATGAACACAGTTAATAATTCTGTTTCTACTGCATCCCAAGTTTTTTTGGAGTAATATTTGTAAGTTAATATTGACAGGAAAAATATTAACATCCATTTTTTCCTTTTTTCCTTCAATAAACAGACTCCCTTTAATAAGTGTTGCGCTGATTCAAGGTTGGGCATTGGGTGGAGGAGCAGAAGTTACTACAGCATGTGATTTCAGGTAAGGTGAAAATCGCTTTACTCCTTCCACAAATATAATCAACATGCTCAAACTTATTTTTTGCTCGAATATAAATATTAATTATATTCTTTTTTTTTTTTTAAAGATTTTATTTATTTGACAGATCGCAAGTAGGCAGAGAGGCAGGCAGAGAGAGAGGGGGAAACAGGCTCCCTGATGAGCAGAGAGCCCGATGTGGGGCTTGATCCCAGGACCCTGAGATCATGACCTGAGCCGAAGGCAGAGGCTTTAACCCACTGAGCCCCATTAATTATATTCTTAAACAGGATGAACAGTTAGTGAATATTTTCTTATCAATTTTTTTTTTAATTTAAATTCAGTTAATTGACATATATTATTTGTTTCAGAGGTACAGGTCTGTGATGCATCAGTCTTATATAATATCTAGTGCTCATTACAACACATTCCCTCCCCAGTGTCCATCACCCAGTTACCCCATCCTCCCCCATTCTCCCACCCCTTCCCCTCCAGGTGAATACAGAAGAGTATTATAAATGTATTTTCTCTTCCTTATGGTTTCTTTCTTTCTTTTTTTTTTTTTAAGATTTTATTTATTTTAGAGAGAGAAGGAGAGAATGACCAAGGGTGGGGGCAGAGGGAGAGGGAGAGAGAGCATCCCAAGCAGACTCTACACTAAGTGCAGAGCCTGAAGCAGGGCTTGATCCCAGGACCCTGAGATCATGACCTGAGCCAAAATCAAGAGTCGGATGCTTAACCAACTGAGCCACCCAGGAGCCTCTCTTCCTTATGTTTTTCTTAATAACATTTCTTTCCCTCTCTGACTTACTTTATTGTAAGAATACAGTACATAATACATGTAACATACAAAATATGTGTTAATTCGCTGTTTATGTTATCAGTAAGGCTTTTGGTTGACTGTAAGCTGTTAATAGTTAAGTTTTGGGAAGCCAAAAGTTCTGTGCAGATTTTCTACTTCATGGATGCTAAGTGCCCCTAAACCCCATACTGTTCATGGGTCAACTGTATTTGACTTTATTTATTTTTTTTATTTTTATTGTTTTTATTAATATACAATGTGTTATTTGCCCCCGGGGTACAGGTCTGTGAATCATCAGGCTTACACACTTCACAGCACTCACCATAGCACATACCCTCCCCAATGTCCATAACCCAGCCACCCTATCCCTACCCTCCCATCCCCCAGCAACCCTCAGTTTGTTTTGTGAGATTGAGTCTTTTATGGTTTGTCTCCCTCCCGATTGTATTTGACTTTAAATAACTAAGTCTTAGTTTCTTTATAAAATAGAAATAATCTCTGCTAAATGTTTATAAATATAAATGATCTAATGGATATGTGGATACTTAGCATAACACTTAACCAGGGTACACACTGATGCACACACGATATTGATTAGAGTCTTAAGATTACCTTACTACTCTTACACTTTTACAGAAATGCCAGTGTGGTAATATTTTGGCATAGTTTTAAACTTATTTTTATTTTATTTTTTAGAGAGAGGGAGAGCACACAATTTGGGGGGGAGAGGCAGATGGAGAGGGAGAGAGAGGATCTCAAGCAGGCTACACAAAGCGAGGCTTGATCCCAGAACCCTGAGATCATGACCTGAGCCAAAATCAAGAGATGGGTGTTTAACCAACTCAGCCATGCAGGTGACCTGCTATAGTTTTAAACTTATTAATTCTCCTTTCACTAGAGATGATTTTCAACCTTAAGGCTAATCCTGGCCTCACTCCTTTTTTCCTGTTCATCATACACTTGAGCCTGGAAGGAGAATGTTGGAGCATACATTAAGAGGGGACTTTCAGTGTTTAAAATTCTGACTCTCCCTTTCAGATACTAAAGAAAAAGCCATTCCTTTCTGGCATATAGGGCAGTAGACTAGAGGAAAAATAGCTGATTAATTCAGCATCTTCATTTCCTTTCAGCTCTGTTTCTTTGAATCACAAACTTTCATGTTTTTCAAAGTTCAGATTATCAAAGTATATAAACTAAATCTTGTAATCTATGCATTGTACTAAAATGCTATGAAAATAGTCATGGTGATATAAAAGATACCCATAAAAAAGAAAGAGAAAAACCTATAATTAAGAATGCTTAAAGGTATATATTACTTAATCAAAGACTTCTCTCTTCTAGCCTTCATTTTAACAAGTCTTAAATCACTTTTATCATAGTATAATTTACATTCTGTACTGTGTAGCCACCTCCACAGTCAAGATAGAGAACATTTTTATCAACTCCACATGTTTGCATATACTGTTGCCCAAGCAATTCCCACCTTAATCCAAGGCAAACACTGATCACTTTTTCACTCTAAATAAGATTTGGCAGGGGGTGGCGTGCCTGGGTGGCTCAGTGAGTTAAAGCCTCTGCCTTTGGCTCAGGTCGTGATCCCAGAGTCCTGGGATCAAGCTCCACATTGGGCTCTTTGCTCAGCAGGAAGCCTGCTTCCCTTTCTCTCTGCCTCTCTGCCTATTTGTGATCTCTCTCTCTCTCTCTGTCAAATAAAAAAGAAAAAAAAAATTTAATTTGGTTTTTTGGTTTATTTTTAGCTTTTTCTTTTATAAATAGATTCATTCAGTATATACTTGTGTGTGTATGTCTGGCTTCTTTCATTCAGTGTAATTATTTTGAGATGCGTCAGTGTTGTACCATGCATCACTACCTCATTCCTTTTTAATGTTGAGAAGTTTTTTTTGTGTAGATATACTACAATTTGTTTTCAAGATTCATATGTGTTATTCCATATATCAGCGGTTTGTTCATTTTGTTGCTCAGTGGTATGCCTTTCTATGCATATTACATATTTTTATATATTATGGATAAAGTCCTTTTATGTAAGTCAAATATGTAACATTTTTTTGTCAAATATAAGTATTGTGAACATTCAGCCTTTTTATTTTGTGTCTTTTGAAGAGCAGAGTTTTTTTAAAAAACATTTTTAGCTTTTCCATTTGTATTAATTATGGAATTATGAAAAACTTGTAGAATTTACACAAATAATTCCTATATACCTTTCACTCGTTTCCCCAAATGTTAATATCATACATAACCATAGTATAATTATCAAATCAAGAAATTAATATTGTTACAGAACTTTTAACTAATTGAAAGACCTTATTGGAATTTTTTCAGTTGTCATACTAATGTCTTTTTTCTAATCCAGGATCTAATCAGGAATCTATTGTTTATATAGTCATCCAGCTTTCTTATGATTAATATTTGTGTGGTATATCTTTTTCTGTCCTTTCATTTTAACCTATGCTGTATTTTTTAAAGGTAATTCTAGTTAGTAGACAGTACATATTTGGGTGTTGCTTTTTTTTCCAGTCTCATAATCTCTGCCTTTTAATTGGAGTGCTTATACCATTTATATTCTTCATTATTGATATAATAGGGTTTAAACCTATCATCTTAGTCTTTGTTTTCTATTTGTCCCATCTATTGTTTATTCTTTCTTACTTTTTCTTCCTGCCTCTTTCTAGATTATTTTTTATGATCTCATTTTATCTCTAATATTGACTATACCTGTTTGTGTTATATGTAAAAATGTATTTTTTTTCTAGTAACACATTTATATATAAACAAATATTTAAATAGTAGTGTGAATTTGTTATATATATTAACATATTTTTATGTATTTATTACATATATTACTATATACAGGCACACCTTAGAGATACTACAGGTTTGGTTCCATCTATCACAATAAAACAAATATTGCAGTAAAGCTAGTCAAATGAATTTTTCATTTCCCAGTACATGTAAAAGTTATATTTACATTATTTTGTAGTCTGTTGTGTGCAATAGCATTATGTCTGAAAAAACAATGTACATACCTTAATTAAAAAGTACTTTATTGGTAAAAAATGGCTAACCATCATCTGAACTTAAGTGAGTTGTGATCTTTTCACTGGTGGAGGGTTTTGCCTCAGTGTTGATATTGGACGAATGAATAGGGTGGTGATTGGCTGAAGGTTGGGGTGGCTGTGGCAGTTTCTTAAAATAAGACAACAGTGAAGCTCACTTCACTGATGGACTTTTTCTTTCATGAACAATTTCTCTGTAGTATGCGATGCTATTTGATAGCCTTTTTTTTTTTTTTTGAGGAAACAGTGCCGTTTATTTATTTATTTAGTTAGTTGGTTAGTTTTCAGTTAGTCACCATATCGTACATCATTAGTTTTTGATGTAGTGTTCAATGATTCATTAGTTGTGTATAACACCCAGTTCTCATCACAAAACAAGCCCTCCTTAAACCTATCACCTGGCTACCCCCCCATCTCCCTCCTCTGTTAGACCCACAGTTTGTTTCCCCAAGTCCATAGTCTCATGGTTTGTGTCCCTCTCTAATATTCCCACCTTCAGTTTTCACTCCCTTCCCCTATGGTCTTCTGTGCTATTCCTTATGTTCCACATATGGGTGAAACCATATGATAATTGTCTTTCTCTGCTTGACTTATTTCACTTAGCATAATTTCCTCCAGTTCCATCCATGTTGATGTGAATGGTAGGTATTCATTCTTTCTGATGGCTGAGTAATATTCCATTGTGTGTGTGTGTGTGTGTGTGTGTGTGTATATATATATATATATATATATATATATCATATCTTCTTTATCCAATCATCTGTTGAAGGGCATCTCGATTCCTTCCACAGTTTAGCTATTGTGGACATTACTGCTGTGAACACTGGGATGCAGGTGCCCCTTCTCTTCACTATATCTGTAGTTTGATAGCATTTTACCCACAGAACTTTTTTCAAAATTGGAGTCAGTCCTCTCAGACTCTGCCACAGCTTTATCAACTGAGTTTATGTAGTATTTTAAATCCTGATTTTCATTTCATATGCATATGCAGGTATACATTTATATATACATATACTTATGTGTATAAATACATTTATAATGTATAACTATATGCACACATATATGTTAATGTATTCTTGAGGTATTTAAGGAATAAGGAAGAAGAGCTGATTATTGATTATTAGAAT